TTTTTTTTTTTTTTTTTTTGGTACCTGGGATTGAACTTGGGTCCTTGCGCTTGCCAGGCAGGCCACCGAACCGCTGAGCTAAATCCCCGGCCATTATTTTACTTCATTATTCGTCATGTTTTACCAACCACTTTTTATAAGTAGACTTTCCTTTTCTCTTAACTGGTGATGTCATTGTGTGGAGTAGATGTGCTATGCTGGTTTCTGTTTTGATCTTTGCTGTGGTGAGCCCTGAAATAATGGGAGGGAAGGAAAGTAAATTTGGAGACTGGATCAAGAAAGTGCTACACTCCGAAATTTGAAACTGCTAGGGATAATAGGAAGCCCTTGGCAGAAAGGACCTTTCCTTAAAAAGAGTGCTGTAGTCTTGAAGTTGTAATAGCCACTGAGGCAGCTCATAAGAGGGATAATTGGAGCTGAAAAAGAATTCCAGCTGGTAGATTGTAGGTCCTGGTTTAGCCCAGGCATAACCCAGAATCTGTGCTAAGTGGGAAGTGGGAGGCCTCAGAATGTTCCCCACCAGGCGGGTCCAGGAGCCTAGAGTCTCTGTGCAGGGTGTGCTGCCTCCTGCTTCCTTTCTTGTCAGCTGTTACATCTTGCTTGCAAAGAACTCTCAAGATGAAACCTCTTCCTCCTCCTCCTAATTCATTTCCCACTTCTAACCTCTGTGGTATGATTAGTGATCTTTTTGGAATTGTGTCTGAGTAAGAGAAAGTTGGTTCTCTGAAAGGCATTTTTTTAAGGGTTGGGAATCTTGAGGCTTTAACAATATATGGGAATGGTAACATGGTTTTTCTGTTGGTTTGTCTGTATTTTCCTTGTTCTCATTTATTTATAACTTTTGGAAGGAAAACAAAATCTTACAGCATATGAGTTTATGAATTGTGTATTTTATGTATCCTGTACTCTTTTAACTACACGGTAAGAAGTTGATGCTATCTTCAGATTGAAGTTGACTTACCTTTTACTGAGGGCTGATTGTTAAACAGGATTTTATAGCAGTTCTTATTGACTGTGTGTGTACATATTGTTAATAAGAAAAAAATCCCAAATCGACAGGTTGAATTTAAAGACTGAATTGTAATCTGTTAAATACACGCTTTGAAACAATGGAAAGCAAGGACAGGGTTCTGTATCGTGAAGACTGTTTGTGTGAACTGTGAAAGTACATTTTTCATGCTTAATAAGTTGGCTAAAGGCCAAGATAAAATGTCAGGTTATTACTCAGAAGCAGTTTATTTTCTGTAATATTATGCTTGTTGTGACTACTGTGTTGTCATTGCCTCTTGTGTGCTGTTGTACATATCAAAATGTTCCACATCTTTTATTCTGTTATTCAGCTTTATGTTAGAAGTGCTTCAGTTTCTCGAAGTTGTGGTCAGTTTTGTTCCGAACTGACCATGTAGCGATTTCACTGTATAAAAAAAGCTCAAGTGTGAGCTCAAACTTCTTTCAAAAAAAAGTTTTGAGTTTGTGGTTCTTTTAAGTCTGAAAATCATCTGAGGTCCGTAATAACCTTCTGGGTGTAACAGTATTTTGTGTACAAAAGATTTGCTTCTAAAATGCCACATCTGAAGGTTCTAATATTCTTGGAAAGTGGGAGAGAGTATGCACATCAAAGAAGGCATGTTTATCACATCGGATTGCGCAGTACTTTGGCCAGCCTCCTTAGCTTCATCTGTTAAGGGTTCATTTTCGCTTGTTTGGCACAGCTCCCAGGGGAGACCTTCAGAATTGTGGTTAGCAACATGAATGAATTACTAAGTTTGGCGGAGCTCTTCAGTTAGCAGGGCTGGCTTCCTGCCAAAGACACAGCGCCTCCTATGGGGTCAGGGCAAAGCTCTGGTTCGCTGAGCCCTGCATTGTATAGAAGGCATGCTCGCGATGCCTGTTTGCTTTCTTTTAAAATAAAAACAAAACAAGACAGAAAAAGCAGCAGGCTTCCGAGTCTATCAAAATAGGAAGTAACAAAACAGTGTGCAGGTTTTACGAATGACAGAGTTCAGCCGACGGGGGAGGGCTCCGCAGAGCTCCGATGCCTGTGGAAGGCGGCAGGAGCCGATCTTCTGACCTCGCCTCGCGGGCCAGCCTGTGCGGTGAGGGCTGAAGGGTTCGTGAGGCTTCTCTTTCCTACCTGCTCCTCTTTATAAATGCTTAGCGCGTTTAAATAACTAGTCGTGTGCGTGCGCCGCTACTGTTGTACTGCTTTTTACTGTACTGTGACTTCGACCATTGACACGTTGGGGAGAAAAATGGACATGTTGGAATGGTAAAGTAGCGAAAAGTGGAACTTGCTTTTCCAGGAAGTCGGGAACGTCTGCTTCTATTGGGAGGCGGGAGGGAACAGGCCCTGGCTGGGCTGGGGAGACAGGGAGGTAGGTGTCCCGGGCTGCAGCTCACTGCCCCTGTGCTTCCTTCCCGTGGTCTAGGCGAACCCGCTGTCCGGCTCCTCCCTGGGTCAGGCGGCCTCGCACGTGTACGGCGGCGGCAGGTTGAACCCGAATCCGGCGGCGGGGGCCCTCATGGCCCAGGCTGACAGCGGGCAGACAGGTGAGGCCTCGGGGGCTCAGCTCCGCGGCGCGTCCCTTCTCAGTGGGTCCTCGTCGGGGTCGGGGCCGCTGGGCTCCCCCAGGACAGCCCGGACCTCTCTGTGCGTGGTTCAAGAAGGCCCGGTAGGAGGGGCGCCTCACACCCGCTGGGTCTGCACCCGTCCGCACGCGAGTACCCCGGGGGTGCTTTCTTCTGAACTCGGGGTTTCTGCTTGCTCTTCCGCTTTGGTGTGTGGATTCATGGAACACAATTTTAGTCTCACGGAGGCTCTGTGTAAATGTATCTCACGATGTCTCGGAATGCCAAGTGTTAAAACATACAAAGCACGAGGGACTTGCTGTGATAAGCGTACAGACCAGCTGTCCACAGCTGTGATTCGTTACTTTAACCGTAGAAATTAAGAGGGGCTGAGGGGAGGGTGCTGCGAATTCAAACCACGCTCTGTGCTGTAAAATTAAAGGAATGAAAGAACAGGATCCGTTGCCTCCCGACACCCGCAGAAACGTGTAAGGACAGCGCTGTACGCCCAGCGTGCTAGGCCGCCCCTCTCCTAGAAGGGTTCATGTGTTTTAGGGGAACGAGGGCCGGCGTAAAGCCTCTTACCTGGTGAGAGTCAGTTTACAGCTCTGAAATATTTGCACTGCAGATCAGGACCTGGGAGACAGCGGCCGCAGCCTGGCGGGCAGAGGAAGCTCGCCCCGAGGAAGCCTCTCCCCGAGGTAAGCGCCGTTCAGACTCCTTTAATCAGCGGTGTGCATCTAGCTGCTGCTACTATTCAGTCGTGAACTTGGGCTGTTGTTCTGCAGACTCGGTTTAGCTGGGCCCCGCGCTCTGTGAGGCCGCCACCCTTCCGCTCAGTGGGCCGGTGCCGAGTCGGGAGCCGCGGCCCCTCTTCCTCACCCCCTCGTGGTGGTGCGAGGTCACGTCAGGTCCCGGGCGAGACTGGCGCCGAATGAGGGCAGTTTCCTGACACTGTTCAGCACTGCCTTACTCGAGACGGTCTACGCTGTGTTCTCTCGCTTCACGAGTTCCACCTCAAACCTGGACTGGAATAGGAGACTGGGAGGGAAACGCTCCTTCTAGGGTCCTCGTGTGGAGATCGAATGACGACCGCGAGTGTGGACGTGCTGCGGATGTTGAGCAACGTCTGATGCAGTGTCCACTAACTCCTCATTTTTCTGTTTTTGGATGGTGGTACTACCTTTTGCCTGTTTATTTCCTGGGTGAATGAAAAATAGTTTTTTTCCTGATTGACCTCTGTAGAAAATTAAATGTCCCTTTTCTATAAACTGGAACTCTAAAGTGGTCTGTGACTTTGTGTGCTGTGCCCCCATCTCTGTAGTGCTGGGGAGTGGGCCCAGGGCCTCTGCACCAAGCCTTGTCCTAAACATTTGGGGAGGGGGCGGGGAGTATTGCTGAGTCGCCCAGGCGGAGTTCAAACTTGAGCTCCTCCTGCTTCAGCCTCTCAGAGTTCTGGACTCTTACAGATTTTGGGGGTGGGTGGGAACGAGACAGGGTGTGGGTATTAACAGTCTAGGCTGGCTTCGAGCTCAGTACATAGTGCAGGCTAACATTGAACTCAGGGCGATCCTGCTGTCCCAGCCTCTGGACTGCTAGGATTATAGGTGTGTGCTGCGAATCCAGCCCGTGTGAAATTTTTCTTTAAAAGAAAAAAGTTAATGGAATTTTGTACCTATGTTTAGTGGAGAAAGCATTTCTTTATTCCCACTTTAAAATGTCACACAGATTGCCCGGAAATTACTCCTGAGTGCTATTTTGCCTAGTGGGTTGGTTTGTTTTTCAGCCTTTGTACTAGGCTACATCCTCAGCCCTTTTTAAAATTTTATTCTTGAGTTAGGATTTTGCTACATTGCCAGAATTGGCTTAAATTTGGGACCCTCCTTCCTCAGCCTCTCAGAGTATAGGTGTTTGCCACCACACTCGGCCGTGTGTGTGTGTGTGTGTGTGTGTGTTTTGGTTTTTTGAGACAGGGTCTCACCATGTGGCTGAGACTGACCTGGAACTCACTATGTAGCCCAGGCTGGTCTCGAACTCACAGCGATCCTCCTTACTCAGCCTCCCGAGTGCTGGGATTACAGGCCTGTGCCACCACACCTGGCTTTTTTTTAAGATGATTTTCTTTTTTGCGGGGTGGAGGGTACTGGGGATTGAAGTTGGGATCTTATGCTTGTGAGGCAGGTGGGCGGCACCACTGAGCTAAATCCCCGGCCATAGATGATACATATTAATTACTGGGGGTATATTTATTAATTAGAATGCTGGGTTTCATTTATTTAAAATGATTGAATTGTTCAGAAACCAGCCTGAAGTGTAATGAATGGTCTGGCTTCTGTGCTGCTGTAAGCGACGACCCTTGCAGCTGCACAGTGCCTGGTGACAACCTCGGAGAGCCCCGCACTAGGTCCACGCTGGGAGACAGCCTGTGCCCAGTGTGTTGCTTCTGTCCTTCCCGGGACACTGGGGACTGACCTCTTCCCAGTGCCTGGCAGTCCGTGCAAGCTGGAGAGCATACATGGCCCTTCACTAATTGAAGACAAAAAGTAGATTAGAAAATACAACTTGCTCATCTTAATAGAAGCAAATTTGTTTTGGAAGGGTTATCACTTGAGGTACAGATCTGACATTTTTAAAGTATTTTTATAATGGACTTACACATCGCTTTGGTTTGAATAATATTCCTTAATATTGAAAATAGCCTTTAATTTATAACCAAAAACGCTAAGATAGCCAAGCCTGGTGGTGCACACCTGTAATCCCAGCACTTGGGAAGTGAAGGCAGAAAGGTCTCCATGAGTTTGAGCAAGACTCTGTCTCAGTAATATTTTATTGACATTTTGTTGGTAACAAATTTGGATTTGTTCCATGCTATTATAGTTGTAGTCTGTCTTGATACCATATATATTACAGCATAAAGGTAGAACTGTCACTTTAATGTCTTTCTAATCTTGGTCTTTTCCCCTTTTGTCTTATAAAGCCATACTAATTTCTTTTACAGCCTGTTTCAGAGATTACTCGTGGTGTGTTTCTATTTTCTGGTTTTTTAAATTATTTAGTATGTCAGTCATTCCTTTGATTTTATAATGCAGGAAAGAACGATAATTACTCAATTTTAGGGTAGATTATATTGTTACATACCCAGGAAACTGATACTTCTGGCACAGGCCACCTGGTGTTAGAAAACTTGTTGGAGAGACAGCAGTGGTCAGGGTAAGGTAAGAAACCCTGAAAGTGTTTCTCTCCTCTCTGACTTGAGCATTCCTGTTTCCAACAGATCCCCTGTAAGCAGTTTGCAGATTCGCTATGATCAGCCCGGTGGCGGCAGCAGCAGTTTGGAGAATCTGCCTCCTGTGGCGGCCAGTATAGAGCAGCTGCTGGAGAGGCAGTGGAGCGAAGGGCAGCAGTTTCTGTTAGAACAGGGCACACCCAGTGACAGTAAGTGTTCATTTCCTGGGCCTCGAGCGGGGATGGGGGCGGATGGATAGACACTGGGGTCACATTATCCACAGCAGCGATGAAATCAGGACATACTGTGTATAATGGGGTGAGAAAGTTCAGTGCGTGTAATGGCACCGGTGTTACTGCTCTGACTTGAACCTGTCTTTACCTTATTAATAGGCAAACACTTGGGCGAATCTCTTGAGATTTTTAGTCCCTCATTTGTAGAATTGGAAGTAAGACTGTATCTATATACGGGCTTCTAAGGGTTAGAAGACATGAAAAACAACACCGTAGAACATCTGTGAGCTGCTACTTTAACATTGGTACTTTTTCTTCATAGTACTGTAATTTATCATCTGTCTTCTCTAAGCTTAGTTGTTGGAAGAAAAGTTCCTCACCTATGGAGAATAAAAAAAAAAATGCTTATAGACAGGTATGGCCAGCCTTCTTAATTGTATAATTTAGAGGAAGAATAACAACGTACTAGTTAAGTTCATCATTTACTAAAATTACACTATGTGGTGTAATTTTAAGTTTTAGGACCATGGTGGAAAATGGCAGAAAAACAAAGTTAGGACAAGTAGCAGTAAGCTGAAGTGACCCGGTATTGAGCGTAAATGTTTTTTTTGGGGAAATAGGTGGTTTCCATCACTTTGGGATATGAACTTTCACTGCTTTATGTCATTAAAACAAAGGTTTCCTTTCGGTATTAGTGAGCCACACGCCATAAGTCAGTATTTTCATGAATGGTGCCCAACAGAAAATGCTAATTTTCAGGAAGTTCATGCTGTGGTAACCCTTAGGAAAGGAGCCAGAGGACAGGGTCAGCTGGGCCTTGCTGTGCTGCTTTAGGGACCGTGAGGAGGAACACAGGTGAATCCCTCGGGAAGCATCTCTGGCAGGCCCCGTGGTCGAGTTGAACAAATCCAGCTTTTTAACACGGAGAGGTGCGGCCCGTGCCGTGCGGTGTCGCCAGCGAGGCTCAGGTCCTGCAGGAGTCACAGGGCCCTGCACACAGCGCTCCCTGCTGGGCGCCTTGGGCAGCAGCGCCTTCTGGCGGGAGCTTTGGTTTTCCGTTTCTTTTCTTGGGACCCCTGGTGTGGAAGCCCGGGGGTGGAGTGGAGGGGCGCCCGAGCAGGCTGAGCTAACCCTCCCTGCACCGCGGAGTTCACACGGAGCAAGGAGCAGAAATACGTCGGCAGCGCTGTGTGTGTAACAGCTGTTCTGAGGAAACTAAGACGCTTTCATTTCTGTTTCGAGGGTGGAAGTTACCTGCGCCTCGTGGTTTTATTGCTATGTGTGCCAAAGTTTTCAGATGCTACCTCCAGGAGCAGTCTCCCTGGATTCTTACATAGATAGGAATATAAACCTGACATTGGCGTCGTACAGACCCAGGGTACGCTGTGACCGCTTAGGAATGCTTCATAGAACTTTTAACAACTCACCCTTGCTTTAAAATTATTGGCAGTGCCCATAAATGGTCCCGGGTGTGGGTTTGTCTTTAAAAGCATCAAAATGTTTGCTAGTTTTAGGAATGCTGAAGTCATTACACCAACTTCAAGTAGAAAATCGAAGATTAGAAGAACAAATTAAAAACTTGACTGCCAAAAAGGAACGTCTTCAGTTATTGAATGCACAGCTTTCGGTGCCTTTCCCGACAATAACGACGAACCCCAGTCCGTCTCATCAGATGCACACGTTTTCGGCACAGGCGGGTGAGTGAGAGAGCACGTGATTTATATCTAAGAACCAAGGTAGACTTCAGTGTCAGCTGCGTAAGAAGTAATAACCAGCCACCAGCCGTGTGAAGACACAAAACAGGACGGATGGGCTGCTTCCGAAGGGTTTAGGCAATCCTGTGAAGCGGCATCTTGAATTCGCTTTTACTTATGTAGTACAGGGTTTAAGGTGAAATTTATTTAAATGTGCAATGATCTCATTACTGAGTTAAAGCTGTGGTATTCAGAAATGAGGATATGTTTTGTTTTCTATTTAAACTGGCCATAGGAGTGGCAAGACTTTAAATCTGTTTTTATTCTAGCTCCGACTACTGATTCCTTGAACAGCAATAAGAGCCCTCATATAGGAAACAGCTTTTTACCTGATAGTTCTCTTCCTGTATTAAACCAGGTAATTTGTGTGTGGATATGTTCATTTGTGCTCTGCCCATGAACCGTAGGACAGCACCTTAAATGGTTTCAAATTCATGTTAACAGTTTCTCTTCTTCCACTAGGACTTAACCTCCAGTGGCCAGAGCACCAGCAGCTCCTCTGCCCTGTCTACCCCACCGCCTGCTGGCCAGAGCCCCGCGCAGCAGGGCCCTGGAGTCACCGGGGCCCAGCAGGTCAACGGTGTGACTGTGGGGGCGCTGGCTGGGGGGGTGCAGCCGGTGGCCTCTTCTATCCCTGCTGCCGCCGCAGTTGGGGGGATAATTGGAGCTTTGCCAGGTAACCAGCTGGCAATTAACGGCATTGTAGGAGCTTTAAATGGGGTGATGCAGACCCCCGTCACCCTGTCCCAGAACCCTGCCCCCCTCACCCACACAACTGTACCACCTAACGCAACACATCCAATGCCAGCCACGCTGACTAACAGGTGAGAAGCTTCTGTCATATATCATGGGTTTTGTGCATCATAGAACCAGCATCGTCTGTGCTTTAGTTTGGGATGGTCACTGTTGCCTGTGGATGTGTCGAAGAAAATAAAAGTCTACTCCAGATTTAAACTAGGCATATGCTACCCAGAGTATATTTATTTTTGAAATGTAGGTAATTCTTATGAAACAATTAAAACCAGTTTTTAGTAACAAAGTATTAAATATATTATGTTGAAAGTTTTAGTCTTGATACTCGATGCAAGTGTTTTCTTACCCCCCTGTTTATTTATGTATCCTACATTCTGAAGGAAGGTGATAGAGTGATGCTTAAAATTTAGTAGTATAATTTTCTTAACTGGATCAAAGATTTTGACATAAGGTGAAGGATAAATATTTTGAAGTGAAACTTACTGGTTTTGTTGTACTAGAATTTCATACGACTATTTGTTCAAAAAAAGGGGACTAAAGCCATGTTATTAAACATACTTTGGAAGAATAATTTTAAATTCATATTGGGCACCAGTAAGCTATTTCTTCTGTCTTTCTTTTTCTTGATGCTTAATTAAAAAAAATTAGGGCCATTTAAAAAAATCAGTCAAATCACTGGTATGTTTAGATACTTAACTATGTATGTTAGCATAGGTTAAATTATCCCTGAATAATCAAAAATAAACACGTAAATTTCTATTCCATAAAATAATTTTTCTTCTCTTTGGTTTAAAATAAAAAGAATACACTTGACCATGTGAATATGAATTCTCATTTAGTTGTATACATGCATTATAGAAAGAGAAAGAAGAAATGATTTGTGCATAATTGTTTTTAAAAAGTATTGTGGTTGTTAGGCTGGGCGTGGTGGCGCACGCCTGTAATCCCAGCACTGGGAGGCTGAGGCAGGAGGATCGCCACAAGTTCGAAGCCAGCCTGGACTACATAGTGAGTTCAAGGTCAGCCTGAACTGCATAGCAAGACCCTGTCTCAAAAAATAAAGACGTATTATGGTAAAACATTAGAAGTATAAAGTAGAAAGTAAGAATTTTAATCATTTTTCAGTGCCTCAGGACTAGGATTACTTTCTGACCAGCACAGACAAATACTTATTCATCAACAACAGTTTCAGCAGTTGTTGAATTCTCAACAGCTCACACCAGTAAGTTCTTACTTTTGATAATATTTGATTTTTATTAGGAGGAAGTGTTGTTGACTAGAATGGACATTCATTGTGGGATTAGAATACCTGTAGTGAAGCAGCACGATGGAGAATGGTGATCCAGAAGTCTGCTTGCTGTTTGGGACTCTGGTGGTGACGGCACCTCCCTTCATCGCTGTACACACTCAGTGGACTGTGATCCTGGCTGAGGATGGTGCACGGGGAGGGACGGAGGACGGGGGAGGGACGGAGGGCATGATTAGTTAGAAGCTGCGGGCGGGTTCACTGTCGGTCTGATTCGCGGTGCTAGGATAGAGCTGGGGGGCGCCCGCCCTGCAGGCCTGGATGTGCTTGGGGGCGAGAGCCTTTCCGACTTAGGGGACAGCAGCACAGGTGCTCACTCGCAGGCACAGGGCAGGTGCTGTGCTGTGGAAGACCTAGCGGGAGGCAGGTGCCTAGAGCTTGCAAGCAGAAGTACGGATCTCTCCAAAGCAGTGATTGGAAACTAATGTGTACAGGTGGAGCGGAGGCGTACTGAAGCCTGTATACCCCTTTTTTTCTGTCAGTTAGCCTTAGTAATTGCTAATCTTGTTTTTAAGGATTACAGTTTCAGATAGTGATGATTCCCTTTTTTAAAAGGAGTCTTCCTTTATTGGGGGTGGTGACCAGAGGAGCAGGCTGGACAGGACTGTGGTGCCTGCGTCACAGCAGCGCCAGGAGCAGCAGATGGTGACATGAAATCCCAGACTTGATAAGACTACGAGGAGCAGTATCCTGACCGACTGAATACTGACTTTGGAAGAACTGAAGGACACCAGTTTGGACAGAAGACAGTAATTTCAGTAGGGACATAGTTTATTCACTCACTTCTGTGAATTCAATCATCTGCAGATCAAAATGTTTGGAAAAGAGTTGGTGGGTCCTGAATACGACCCCACCTTTACTTAGCATCATTCCCTGAAGAACAGTGATGTGTGGTGGTTCCTACAAGGCCCTGGGCACACAGCCAGTGTACCTCGGAGCCCAGGTTTCCCCGAGGCTTTTGTTGAGATGTGTAGTGCAGCGGGAGTCTGGACCCCCAGGAAAGCCAGAGGCTGCTGGGGTGTCCCGTAGGTGTAAAGACCTCAGGCACTACGGGTGACTCCAGACATTTTACTGTGAAAACCAGAGCAGTGTTGGTGGTTGCTCATTTTTGGTCCGAGCATGCGCGCATTGGTGGGAGGGTTCCTGGTGCGCTGGGTCCTAGCCAAGCAGCTGCTGGGGGCTCTGAGACAAAGTTGGGGGGGGGCACAAATCCATTCCCCCTTGTTCTGTAGCCAGGCTGACCTTCAACTTGCAGTCTCGTTGAGATTCCATTTTGCTGCTTTTGTGGTGCTGGGTGAGCGCTCTGAGCTGCGCCTGAGCCAACGAGAGCAGAGCCTGGCGGTGCTCGGAGAAGCTGAGCTGGAAGCATCTCGGAAGAGATAATGGCTGCAACCTCTGCCTCTGCACAGAGGGACAGAGAGGCCTCTCTCTAGGACCTTTTGGCTCATTGCAGAAATTGTCAGCTTCTGTCTACAGTTCTTCTAAAAACATGTACTTTTTGCTTCAGTGAAAACATAAAATCCTGGCTGTGACTTTGGTCCACGTCACTGTCCAGACAGTGATGCAGAGGTAGACGACAGGAGTCCTGATGCGTACAGTAAAACATGACCTTACTACCTCTCCCTGCCTTCATCTTAATATGGACACTAAACTCAGTGTCTCGGTCTCTTCTGTGAACATTTGTGCCAGAGTAACATTAGGACCTATGGGCTTCCCATTCCTAGAACATGGATATGGAATTTTCAGCACACATTACTGCACGGAGTATGACGACTGAAAGGATTTAAATGTTAGTTTTGTCTTTGTCAGCCAAGGCTAGGAGGTGAGATTCATTCCGAGTCAGACATGCCTCACCTCCATCCTAAAGGTGACTCCCTGCCCGGTGCTCCCACTCCTCTCCCTGCTTACACTTGGTTCTGGCTCTGTCCCAGCAGCCGGCCTGGCAGGATTGTCTCTCTCCTTCCCTCAGTCCCAACCCGACCTTGTTTTGCTCTCCTTTTCTCTTCTGGGTCTTCTACCCGGAGTATGGTGGTGACATCAGGTGCCACTCTGTGGGTGGAACTGATTCCTGGAAGCTGAGCTCTGGTGCCCTGCACAGAGCTGCCCGCCTGGCCAGGTGACACCGCCCATCCCCTCGGGTCTGCCCCACCCTGTGGCTGCATTCTCGGGTGTGCAGCTGTGCTAGCTCCTCAGTCCTGGAAGGCCCTGGCTGTGCCGGCACCCTTGCCCCCTGCCAGTCTCCACCCACTCGAAAGGTCCCCCCCGGTCGCATCCCCAGCAGACTCCCTGTTTCGGTGAAATCATGCCCTAACATTTCTTCCCTTCCAGCGCCCCCACCCACTCCCCACTGTGTATCCCCGGTGCAGAGTAAGTAGCGCTCAGGGGATCTGTGGAGTGAACTAGGTGCATGCTGTCAGGAATGGTGGTGCATACCTTATACCCTACTTCCATTTTCTTGGGAGTCTGAGGTAGGAGGGTCACATTCTAGCATAGCCCAGGCAACTTAGATCCTGGTTCAGAATAAGAAAAAAGGGTGGGGGCTCAGTGGTTGGGTAGTCCTGGGTTCCACCCCTAGTGCCACAAGGAAAGCAGAGTGGAAAAGGCACCATCCCTACGGGCACGGGTGAGAGTTCTGACAGTTGTCTGATGTGGAGTTAGACAACAGAAGTGTGGGGAAGGTGGGGTCCTGTGATACCCTGTAAACTGAATAGCGGCAATGCACGACTGACTTTAGTCGCCAGCATAATTTAAACGGGGCTCCTGCTTTTGTTTGCTTGTGTTGAGAACATGCTGTCCACACTAGTTTACACAGTGGACAGATGTTTCCTAGTGCGGCGGGCTTTTCAGGAGGCGGCACTTGTTCTCTCTCTTGCTAGCATGACAGATGAAGGGGCAGGATGTAGTGCTGCGAGCGTGGTGACTCTGCACTCTCCCATGTTTCCGCTGCAGGAGCAGCACCAGGCCTTCCTGTACCAGCTTGTGCAGCAGCAGCAGCAGCACCACCAGCACCACCCGCCTGAGCTGCAGCCATTGCAGCTGCCCGGCCCAGCGCAGCTGCCCATCAACAGCCTGCTGGCAGGAGCCCCGGCACCGCCTCTGCACACGGCTGCCACCAACCCCTTCCTCACCATCCACAGTGACAGCACTGGCCAGAAGGTCACAGTAAGTGTCTGCTCGGCTGCCCCAACAAGTCCCAGCTGAGTGGCCGTGTTCAGACCATTGGAATTTGCTTAGTGAGGGACAGTTCACTCAGAAGGCAATAATTGTCATTTCTTTATAAAGACAAGTTGAATTATATGGTAATTATAAATGTAATTTACTAAAAATAATTGATCCCAAGAGCTTCTCAAAATTGACTTACCTCCCCTAAAATTTATGTAGCAATCTAAACATTGAAAAAGTAATCTGGTAGTAAGTAAACTAGTCACATTGCTGCCTGTAAGCAGAACATCTTACCCTTTCAGTGTAAAATGTACGTTAAGAACAGATGCACAAACGTGGCAGTGTGCGCTTTAAGTCTGTGTGTCGCTGTCCCTACCCCTCGGGTCAGGTCAGGACAGCACGGGACAGGGAGGCGGGTGCCCGTGTTTGCAGGCTGGTCAGGCTCGTCCTAACGGCAGAGCAGCGGTTTCCTGGAATCTAGTCTTCAGAACCTCTAGGATTGGCTCAAGATTACAGGGTAAGGGTAACCATTCTTCAGGAACTCCTCAGTGCCTCTTGTTTTGGCCATGCCTGGTTAGGCACACACTTTGCACAAACCTTATTATGCCCAGGAAAGAGAAGTGATTGCATTTATTCTGGAAGTTTTACTGTTTCCTCAAGAATCTTTCCTTGTAAAAAACTGTAGCTATAGTAAGTATTGAATCACAACCATACAGATAAAATAGTACCAATTACCTGACAGAATCAGGGCTGGAACATTGAACCCCAGTGGGTTGGGATCCGGCACCCCACCAGGCACAGAGAAGCACAGGGAGGAGGGCCAAGGTGTGGGCCTGGGTCCTGGGTCCGCTTCTGTAGGAGTGTGTTGGATTTACTATTTTAAAGGATTTACCAGTAAATTCATGCCCTTACGCTAGACTGAAAAATAGCCAGAACAATGTATCACATTGTTGCAAGTACTGACCAGAGTTTGTTTAGCTAATAATGCACCTGGTTTTTGTTTTACTGCAGAGAATTAGTGATAAAACTGGGCCTGTTGCTCAAGAGAAATGTTGACCCTTGAGAGACACCTGAAACGGCCTCGCCTGCTTTTAGGCATCTGTGAGGCTATGGCTGTGAAGTGCGAAGAGGCCACAGGACAGCTGGCCGGAGGGCGCTTGGAAGGCCCAGATTGATTTTCTTGTTGCTTTGTTGCACTGAAATGAATTCCCTATCCCCTGCCCCACCCAAAGGTTTTAAACTTTGAAAGATGGAATAGTTAACTTTTGTCAATGAAATGACTTACATGCAATGAGTTATCAACCCAAGAAAAATTTAATATAGTTTGTGTGCAAATTAATTGTTATGGAGATGGGAATAGCAAAAATAGACTGGTTCCACTTACAAACTCCTTGGGTTATGAGTCAGATCTGAAATTTCAAGGGACTTTCATGGGCCGGGGATTTAGGTCAGTGGTTCCACTGCCTGCCTCGCAAGCGCAAGGACCCCAGAGTTCGATCCCCGGTACCTCCCCGCCCCCCAAGCGTATTTCAAGGGACTGTCAATTTCTTCTAGAGTTCTAGTCATTAAATGTTGCAGTTGTATAACTAACTCATCAGGAGACTGCAAAACTGTGTTCAAAATATTTCCTTCCTAATGAGACTTGGCCAGTTTGGTAATTGCATTAGGATGTAACATTTGCTTCTGAAGGTACTTTTCTTTTTGCCAAGTGCTTCTTCAGCATCCAGACCTGCTCATAGTGTAAGGGAGACTTTGTCTTAGTTCTGAGGCTGCTGGGGGAAGAAAGCCCTTTCTGGATGCTGCTGCAGTCTGGCCTTGACCAAGGTTGTCAGCAGCCCGCCGAGTGGCTCCAGGCCAGTGCCTCATCTCTGTTACCCTCAAGGTGCTGTGCCCTGCAGACAGCTCAGGCAGAACTGCGTCCTGTAGGGTGTTTCTCCAGTAGTGGTCACAAAATAGCAGGAGGGGTCTGGCAGGAACACATAACTGTTTTATTTAAGCAATTTCCACTACTAAGCACTGTGGCTCCCGAACAGCCAGCCTTGTGTCCACCCTGTCTTCCCCTGCAACTGCACCCTGGGTGTCCCAGGAGGAGGCAGGACAGACCCAGGCAGCTGCTGGGGTCTGAGAGGTGAAAGGTGTTAGTGACTAGACCTCCACTGTGTCCTTAGCTGAAGAACACGCTAATATGTCTCTTGGTTAAACATTGCACAGTTCTTACCTCATTTCTGTAAATAAAGTTTTGTGAATCTTTTGTATTGTGAAAAATTCATAAGATAACATTGATATTTTGATTTGTAATATTTCTAATTGGTAGATTTAATTGAAAAGTAAAATTAATTTATTTTTATATGTTCAGGGGAATTTTAAAGAAAGTCAGACCTTTTGTAGATAATTTTTAAAAAATCAGTGAGGTTTATTTTAGTTATTTAACCCACTGGTTGTTATTCTGTAACAATTTGTATAAATGGTAAATTTTGAATGTGTTGTTATTTTGCCTAGATGTAAAATTCCACATGTATTAAAATGTACAAAAGTTTTTGTTAATAATAAAATTTAACGATGTTTATAAGTTGGTGCCTTGTGCTTGGTTCTGGCCTGTGATCTGGGCTGCCATGTGCCACTGATGTTGCCTTGAGTCAGCCGTGGACAGTGCTGGGCAGGATCCCCAGCCGAGTGTGGGCAGTTGGTGCTGAGCCAGAAAGGGGCCACGGCCACGTTCTGTGCGGTACAGAAATGACCCCAGTGGGGTGTCTTTTTTCATCACTGAGACAGTGACACCCGAAGTTAGAGGTGGAAAGGGTTATTTGGCTCCATCTATAAGAGGTTTCATAGTCAGCAAGCTCCAAAGCAGGGTGGGATGACCGAGAGCCTATGGCAGGGCAGGCAGAAGGCAGCAAGTGACAGGTGAGTGACTAGCGCAGCCCTCTTTCTGTCCCTTACATCCTGGCCAGGCTACTTGCCCTTAGGGCAGTCCTTCCCTTAATCCACACTCAGAATGATGACTGCTTCAGTGATCAACGCACATTTAGATCCAACCACCTCTGAAAAGCCTTATCTATGACTGCAGGAGGCTCTGGGGGACATCTAGACACAGGTATCACTGACAGTACATTAGCCATGTAGCAGCCATATTTAAGATTAAATCCCTCCACAGTAGAAGAAATGTCCTTGTTACAAACACAGCATTTTCTGCAGCCGTTCCCAAGTCCTCTGTCACCAGTGTTTGAGCAGAAAAGGTGAGCTCCAGAAGACATCCCACTGTGTCCTCCTGACACCCTAAGTCCTGTGACCACAGAAGTGAGCATTTCCAGTGGTGCTGTGTGCACACAGGAAGGGAGGGTACGTCGATACACTGTGTTTTTAAGAAGAAACATTTGCAGGGCTGGGGATTTAGCTTAGCGCTTCAGTGGCCTGCCTTGCAAGCGCCAAGGACCTGAGTTCAATCCCCGGCACCAAAATAAAAAAAGGAAACAGTGCACTCGGAAACCCAGGGTCATGGCATGTGGACTTCACATGTCACTCAAGAGCATGACCTGCACTCACTCCGTGGCAGGTGGCCTGTCACTGCTCTGGCCCCAGGTGCCTCTGCGTCACCCAGGGATGTGTGGTCTGGGCTGCAGGTCCAGGCCAAGAAAACCCCAGCTGCCAAGGTGTTTTCTGAGCTGTCATCATGCAGAAGGGGAAGGGTCCTCCCCAGCAAGAGGCCTGGGAACTAGGAACTCTGATCAAATGCAGCAAATAAGTAGGTTGTGTAGCTTTTGCATAGAAATGGCCACAACACTAATAGTATTCATTTCAGTTTCAATTAATGAAAAAGAAGTACGCTTTGGCAACACAATTTTTGTTTTTTGGACACAGGTTCTCACTACTAGGCTGGCCTTAGCTTACTATGTAGCCCAGGCTGGCCTCAAACTCGTGTTGATCCTCTTGCCTCAGCCTCCCAAGTGCTGGGATTACAGGCATATGCCACCAGGCCTGGCTGACATCACATCTTTTTGTCCAGACTGAAGTAGGCCTTTTAAAATGAAATTCAGTGGACCCTTGAGTTGCAACTAGCTTGACCTAAGAACAACCTTAGTTATGATTGGAATTTCAGTTTTAACTTATGACCAAAGTCTTGAGTTACAACCCGAATGCCAGTCACTTGTGCTTCCAGATAGTCTCAGATACATATTTAACCCTTCAAGCAGTTCTGGGAACAAACATTACCACAATCCTTTCCTATGTGTGCTTAATTGAGGAGTTCTGGGCCAATGTCTTAAGAACCCTGAGATCTGCCCGTGTATAGGAGAGACTTTGAAGGCTGTGCAGAGGAGCCTGAGGCTTCAACTGACCATTGTGCGTTACAACCAGCCCTTGTGAATGAACTGAGTTCATAAATCAAGGGTCCACCACAGCTATGAGCTTTATAAACATCTAAAAATCCCTTCTTTTGTAGGCCTGGGAACCCAAGGCCTCATGTATGCTAGGCAAGTGCTCTGGCGCCCCATACCTGCAGTCCAGGAATCTTCCTTTTAAATGAACGTCACATGGGTAAGAGTAGGGGACAACTCTTTACTACTCGCCTTGTTACCCACAACAAAGAAAATGTGTTTTTCTACTACAATTGTGCACAAAGGCCCCCTGCAATGTGGTGTCCCTGGGTTTGGTCACACACAGGGTTGGCAGCTTTGAGGGCAATTCCCTCATCCGAAGTTAGGGGCACAGTTTCTCAATCTCTATAGTTTCTCTGGCTGCTTTGGTCTAGAGAGCTCCAGAGCCACACAAATGTAGTTTCCAAGTCTTGATCCATACCTGCAGGGTCCTCCTAACCTATCCATGCTTGCATTGACCTTTCAAGCCCATCTAACACTCAGAACAGGGATAAACATGGCTCAGTCATGAGTGCTTGCCTGGCTTGCACAAGACTTAGGGCAGGGGAGGAAACCCCATCCGGTGGCCAGCACTTGTATTGAAAGATACACATCATAAAGCCAGCGTGGTGGCACACACCTGTAATCCCAGCACTGGGCAGGCTGAAGCAGGACGATCATTGTGAGTTTGAGGCCACCCTGGGCTACACAGTTCAAGGCCACCCCAAACTACACAGTAAAAGCCTGTCTCAAAACAACAAAACTAAAAAGAAAAACCATGACCTATCTAAGTTTCATAGTCTTACGGAGTTAAAATATATACACGTCCAAGTCACGCATTGTAGGAACGATGCAGGGTATTGTTAGCTGAGGCGGAGTTTTGTGGACCCGAAGTGCAGATTCCACCAGCGTGCAGGCCCTGCAGTCAGTTGCTCCAGATCACGGTCCCGTTCCTCACTGGAGGAGGCATGAGCCTGGGGACGGTGACCTGAAGTTTAGAACGCAGGGCCAGCGGCGGGGACAAACGCCCGGCCCAGTACAGGGAAGCGGCTACACGTGGCCCCAAGCTGGGCCGGTGAGACGGGGGGCTCCACGGGCCGCAGCTGTCCTCTGCGTGAGGTTTCCAGTGGGGCAGAGACGCCCTCTTTGAACCAGCGGCCACCGGACACGGGAGAGGGCAGTTGACTGGGGTCCGATAGGCCGGAAAGAGCAGGCGACCTCAAAGTGGAAGGTTCTGGGGCGGAACCTATTCAGGAGCAGGCGACCAGAGAGGTGGAATTCTGGAAGTCTGTGCTTGGGTTACTTTCCCATTTAGGGATTTTTTTTTGGTACCAGGGATGGAACTCAGGGTCTCGTGCTTGCCAGGCAGGAGCTGTGCCACTGAGTTACACCCTCTGGCCCTTAATTAGCCCTTTTTTTTGGTAGCGGGGATACAGCTCGGTACTCTGTGCTTCCGAGGCAGGGGGTGGTGCCACTGAGTTAAAGCCCCGGCTGGCCAGGAACTCGCGGCGATACTCCTGCCTCAGCCTCCCTCGGGCTGGGATGAGCAATGTGTACACCCATTTGGGTTACTAGGGCCATCAGGGACGCGCATAGCCCCCCGGGGCCCTGGGTCATGAACTCGGGCCCCTGAGCAACAATGAAGCGGAAGGGAACGCGAGTCACCGCAGCGGCGGAAAGGACAGGATGGCCAGACCCTGGGAACCGCGGCGTTCAGACGACAGGCGCGGTGA